CCCCTAGCCGGCCGGCTAGGGGGTGTGGCCGGCCGGCCACCTGCAGCAAAAGTAATACAGGACTTCAATCAGAACTTCTACTGGAGCAACTCCATATTCATTGGTCTATGGAATGGAGGCTGTTCTACCCATTGAGATTGAGGTTCCGTCATTGCGAGTATTGGCTGAATGCCAGATAGCCGAAGCAGATTGGCAGCAAAGCAGATTCGAAGAACTCGTGCTCTTTGATGAAAGAAGACTGAAAGCACTGTACCACATTCAAGGCTATCAACGTAGAATTGCCCGGGCTTTCAACAAGAAGGTTAAGTCCAGGAATCTGAAAGAGGGAGATTTGGTGCTCAAAGACAACCGAGCTCCCATCCACGACCCAAGGGGCAAGTTCAAGCCCAATTGGACTGGTCCTTACATTATCAAAGCTATCTGGTCAGGTGGGGCTGTGGTTCTGATGGATCTAGATGGCTTGGAGTTCTCACAACCGATCAATATGGACAAGTTGAAGAAATATTACCCTTTAGAGGCTCGCTAGGCCGAAAACCCAAAAGGACGACCTAGGCAAAAGTCAGAGCACAAAAAATTAGAAAATATAAAAACTGAGCTCGCAAGGTTGAAAACCCGCAAAGGGCGGCCTTGGCAAAAGTTAGAGCGCAAAAGGAGAGTGAAAATACTCGAGTGAACCTGAGCCTGAACTACGTAAGGCTTGATTCCCATCTTTGGGATACGTAGGCAAATGCAAAGTTCTTTATACTAGGGGCAACTTTCCGTTGCCGCGACAATGCAAAGTTCTTTATACTAGGGGCAACTTTCCGTTGCCGCGACAATGCAAAGTTCTTTATACTAGGGGCAACTTTCCGTTGCCGCGACGGTGCAAAGTTACTCAGACTAGGGGCAACTTTCCGTTGCCATGAAGTGCCGCATTGTTCTTCAGGCTAGGGGCAACTTTCCAGTTGCAGGGATCCGGGGTTGTGCATCTCAATGACAGATCTTCGGCATGTCCGGTTCTGATCCACATCGAAAATAGTTTTGAAAAGTTTTAATAAAAGTTGACTTTGTTCAAATCAATCTTTTTACGACTAAGGCCTTTTTTGGACCAAAAGTGGAAAATTTTCAGTACCATAACTTTCAATTTCATTGATTTCAAAATAGAGTTCTCCTGCTCTTGCATTACAATCAGGTTTGCTTATTTTAGTACATTCATAAAGAAAACTTGAAAATGCTAAATAAGCAATAAATTTGGGGCATAGTTGAATCAAGTATCTCTGTGTCCCCTCCCGGAGCTGGACGGAGCATCTGATGCCAAGCTAGGCCCAACTTGTGCTTCCTCTTTGAGCCAATCCACACATTCATCTGACAAAGTGCAACTGAAGGTTGAAGCAAGGACCAGAAGCTCTCTAGTCCTCCATGCCGTGGCATGTCTCTGGCCGGCCAGCTCCCAGGGATGGCTGGCAATGTTGCAGTGTGTCTCCTCGGCCCTGTCTTGCTCTTCGAAGGAGAACTCCAAGCATTGCCATACAACAGGAAAGCCAAAGGCCTTCATTACAGACGCGTTCCGATGCCCAGATCGTCAGAAGTACGCCTTTTGTTGTTGAGTTTTGCTTATCGAGTTGTTGTACTTTGCTTATCGAGTTGTTTGTCGGGCGGACGCGTTTTGTGTTTTTGAGTCATTGCTCTCTGTTTAAGCAAATTTTGTTAAAATCTTGTTCGTTTGCATTATTGCCTTTTTCTTATCGAGTTGTAAACTTGCTAAAGATTCTGTTATATCCTAGTAAGTTGGGTTGTTTAGTTTGTAGCGTCGGTTCACTACCTGACTTGGTGATTACAATGCGCATTACCATTCAATTTCATTCATGTGCAAAGTAAATGATGCGATACGATGCTAAAAGTTCAAAATACAAACACCTTTCCAAAAGCTATTTCATTTCATCATGCATTACAACAAATAAAGGTACAAGTTTTACAAAAATAAAACTACCTAACAATGTGCAAAGTGCTACAAACTACTAGTAAAAAGAAAAATAAAGCATGGAAATAGCAACATCAAAATCCTCGGGAGCGGGAACGAGAAGCACGCCTAGTCCTCTTTTGCGGGACAACCTCCACACCATCATCAGAGTCGGAGCTGTCATCCTCAGGATCCTCCTCAGCCTCGCCTCTGTTCCCCGAGCCAAAACCGGAGCCTCCCTCCTCGACAGATGTCTCGAACTAACGGTCGGTGGCCTCCTCCTCCTCCTCCTCATCGGACTCCACCTCCACGACATGAGCCCTGCGCCTGCGGACCGGTCCTCCTCGAGCTCCTCGATAAGGCCTAGATGGCCCGGCTCCTCGGGAAGGCCGAGATGACCCCGCCCCCTGAAAAGGCTCAGATGGCCCAGCTCCCCAATGAGGCCCAGGTGGCCTGGCCTGCGGCTGACCGGACCATGAAGGCATCTGAAAACAAAGAGTTCAAATCAAATGCATCAGTCCAAATATGTACGTCAGGATACAGATCTGAGCAAAGGCTACATGAAGTGGGTGCATGTAAATACAGCGTACAAGTGAGGTGTGTGTCAGATGTGCTCTACACAAATAGTCTATCAATGCAGTAGAAATCAGCATGTCATCAGAAGTATGATAAATGCCAGGAAAACTGAAAGATACCTGAATGCCTGCAACAGACAACTGTGCCTCCCTGCGTAGGACCATGCCCTCGAGTGTGGCTACCAGCCCAACCACTTCCTCCATGTACCCTCGCGATGGCTGCAAAAATGAGCTCATAATCATCAGTGAACAGAAGAGTGTCTAAACATCTGAATGATGAATGAAAAAAAGTGGAGCATACCGGCGGTGAGTCCGGATCAATGGCATATCGATCACTGGGCATCGGAGGCTCTAGTGGGATTGGGGTCTGAGAGCTAGCCCCATACTGCCATGCCAACAACTCAGTGGGCATATCTGGCCATCCGACATGAGGATGAATCGACGGGGCCGGAGGAAATGGTCTACTCCCACCTCTAGATGTGCCAGCCCTACTAGAAGAAGGGATGTCTGTACCCCGAGCCTGAGCCTGGTCCGAGGATGGCATACCGGCAGGTCTCATCATCGGAATACGAGCTTCTGTCAATGGAGGCATCAAATATATGTGACGGTAGGTGGCGTAGTCTCCCTCCGCAACATATAGCAAAGCATCGCTGCCCAGCATGGCGCCGACCACCTCTGAGTAGGAAAGTCTGTCAGCAGTCCGCATACTGGCTGGGGGTACTGCGGGAATATCCTGAGAAAGATACCCCTGTACCTGGCGCAGAAAGCGCTCCCCCAGGAACCAGACTCTGCCAACTGGCCCTTCGAGCAGGACCCTATACCGGGAGATGCCTGACGCTCCGGTATACTGAAGCAGGAGATCACCACCCAAGGGTGCCCAAGGCTGCCAAGTAATCTGCGAATGATAAATGTATAAACCAATCAGAAAACGAGAATTTACAGAGCAAGTCAAAGATGAAAATGAAAAGAACTGAAAGTTCTGAAGTACCTCTGAGTGCCGCACAGTGTCGAAGTACTGTCGCAGGCGAACCAGGGTCTCTCGAGGCCTCGCCCGGTGCGGGCCCTCAAATATAAATGAATATGGGGTCACGGGAATCCCCACCACCTCCAGCTCTGGGGCTAACGATGGGAAGTACACATAAACCCATAGCTGAGAAAAACAGTGCAGAATGTAAGTACGAAATGCTGAGAGCAAAATACAGACTGTAAAAGTGCGCTGTGTATGCAATGTACAAGTAATGAAGAGCAGAAATGTAAAACGAGGGGACAGAAAGTACCTCCCAAGCTCGCTAGTAGCCGCCAAGCAAATCGCCCCGCCCGCGGGAGGTCGCGCTCATGTAAAAATAAAGGGTAGCCAGGCCAGCGCCACCCCAATCATATCTATGGACCTGTGATAGGTCAACTAGAGCGCTCAACAGGTATAGCCCAACGGTGTTCCCTCTGTCGGCGAACAGGGTAGTCCCGAAGAGGAACATCAGGAAGCCACGAGCATACTGCTCTGTCTCCTCGGGAGTCTCGGGCACCATCTCTGCCCGCCGAAAATGGCTAGCCATACTCAATACATGACCAGTGATCGGCCTCACCCATTTCATCCAAGCACAACTGCTTATCCAAGCATATTGGTGCAAGCGATTGGTAGGGTCCACTCGATCTATGTATGGAGTAATTTCACGTCAGTTAGCCAAACAAATCAATACTGACTACATAGAATAACTACATAGAATTTAACAAATGACTAAAGTAATCAAACGAATCAACAACAACAGAATTTGTCAAATGATCAGAATAATCAAGAGGAGTACAAATTAAAGGTGATTAAAATAACTCTTTGCAAAGAGATTTAAAAGAAGTATATTGTATTCCACCTGAATTACCTGAAATCAATCTCCTCTGTCGCCAACACTCAAGTCTCGATGTTTCTCCATGGATCTCCAAAGTTGGTGGATCATAATTCTAAGGCATAAGGTATGTAAAGTTTGATAAGATCTATAACTCTCCTCTGCTCTCAGCTGTAAGGTGTATATACGTGGTGTATGAGTGTTTTTTTGTTTTGTTTTGTTTTTTTTTTTTAAATGTGGAGGGAGGGTGATGGTGTATTCATAGACTAGGGATGACCCGTGCCTGAAGGAACTGCCAACAATTTTTTTGGTATCACGTGCTACAAAACTCAATGGTAATAAATCAATTGAAAATGGTAATATCACTCCGACTTAAAACTTCACAAATAAGAAACTGAAATTGCTTCTACACATTGAATTAGCGAAAGCATTTATAAATTTCAAATAGCAAATTTCAAAATGAAAGTCCAAAAAATAAATTATATATTTGAATGTCGCATATGCAAAGAATCTAGAAATATTTGCTAAACTTAAAGTCTAAATAGCAAATTTTAGATTTTTATCCACATCAAAATGGCACATCTATACACTATAGCAAGTTAGAATGGGATAACTTTCAATAAAAGAATGTTATTGAATTAGTATCATAATTGGTAACCCTTTTGCTTTATCAGGTTTAAATTTCTTCAAATAAAGGTCAATGAACACTTTGATACAAAAGAATCATCCTAGCTAACCCAAAAATAAATAAATAAATAATTTAACATGAGAGAGCCAACCAATGACACACCGGTAGAAGCAACGTAACCCAATGTTTTCAATATGGATCAATGGCCTACAACAAAATCACTCGCTTAAATTCGCTTCAAAAAACCAATAGCTATGAAAAATCACATCAAAATCGTATGAGAAATCGGAAGAAATTGTAATGAAGAATAATTGCATCAAAAGAAACTGTAGTATGAAAAATTTCATCAAAATACATATGAGAAATAGGAAAATCAATAGCTATGAATTAAGAAGTGTTAGGTTTTATTATTGGCAATCCCGTTTGACAAGGATTTCTTTAAGAAGTTGATTTTCTTCCAAAACTATGATTACTTTTGGATTGCTATAAGTAATTGGATTTCTTCCAAAACTAGGATTACTTTTGGATTTTCTATAAATAGTTGGTTTTCTCCCAAAACTATTTAATTCCTCCAGATCTTCTTTTTGGTTCTTAAGGTTTATATCTGGGGATATTTTGTTAGTTTTCTTTGATGTTTTATTGAGTATTCAATTCATGGTTTAAAGAGAGTACATCAAAGGTTTTGTTTGCTATACATAAGAGAGAGAGAGTTGTTCTTCAGTGGATTCTGGAGAATTCGAGCCTGAAGCTTCGGTGGATTCTGGAGTGGCTCATCGTAAAGACAATTCCGAGGTGAAGACGGGGTTGGAAGAGGCACATAGAGGTTGGTTCAATTAGGCGTGGATTCGCTAGGTAATTGAGAGTATACCTGTGTAATTCCTTTAAATCTTCTTAGTGAATTGTTTTGTGGCTGTTGCCCGTGGTTTTTTAATCACAGTTGGGGGTGTCCAATTGTGGTTTTTCCACGTTAAAATCGTTGTGTTGATTTGTCTTGATTGTTTGATTGGGATTGTTATATACTGCTTAAAATTGTTACATAATCACAAATCAAGATCTAGGGGATTTCTAGATTTTTCAATTGGTATCAGAGCAAGTCGTTCTATTTTTTAAAAAAAAAAATTCTTTTAGAACTAGATCTTGTTTGATTTGTGATAATGGATTCAATTCGTGAGGGAAATTCTATGGTTCGACCACCCCTACTTGACGAATCCTCGGAGAGTGATGATGAAAAGCTTGAGCAAGCTTATGAAAAGTTATATAAGGAGTCTCTTAACTTATTCAAATTAAATGACAAACTCACAAAGAAACTCAAAGCATGTGAAAGTGAGAATGTCAAACTTAAGGAAGAGATTTCCGAGGCTAGGCTTGATGCCATCAAGATAGCTAATGATCGACAAGCTCTTTGTGAAAAACTCTTGACTTGTGAGATAGAGAGGAACAAGCTACAACAAATCTATGCAACATATGAAGAAAAAATTGAAACTCTCGAGATGTCTCAAGTTGTTTTGGAAGAACTTATGATCAAGAAAGAGGAAGAACTCAAGTGTGCTATGGCTACCATTGGCCTTTGGAACAGAGGATCAAAGACTTTGGACAATATTATTGGGTCTCAACAAATTTGTTCAGACAAGAGTGGCATTGGCTTTGGTGGTAAGAAAGACCAAAAACAGAGTGCATCAACATCTCATGATACAAGAACTCAAGGAAAGGGAGAACAAAAAATTCAACATAAGGGTGGACTTCTCAAACTTCCTAGAGTTGGTAAGGTAAAAGAAAAGAAGGTACATCCTGTTTTTATTTGTCATCATTGTGGTATGCATGGTCATATTCGCCCTTACTGTTATAATTTGCATGGAAGTATGTCTCAAAATGGTAGAAATTCGAATACTTTTTGGGTTAGGAAACAACCTTACATACCCAGACAAAATTCCAAGATTCATGAGGGTGTTCACAATGCCACGACATTTACCAAGACCGCTAGACCTAATTTTGTTAAGATCAAAAAGATTTGGGTGAGAAAACTTGACTTGTTGTAGACACCCCATTTTTGACCGACCTTAAGACTCAGGCGCCACCGATTGAGCGCTTGGTGATGTTGCATAATGTGCTTGTTCAGAAGTTTCGGAGTTGCGGCCATGAGCCCTGCCTCCGGACTCCCGAACCCTTTTCTGTGCCTTGTCTCGGTTTGCGAACCAGACTCGGTTTTCTCTGTTTCTTTTCCTGAGGATAGGGAGAGGTCCGGTAGACCATCTCTCAATGTCCGTAGGCTACATTTGGTGGCCGTAGGCCATTGTTCCCATTTCGGAGTCCGGTTCCCGGTTTTCGGAGCCGTCAGGCCGTGTGCCTCGGTTCAGGACCGCTTAACCATCTCCTATTGCTCTGATTTTTGGCATACCTCTTATTTCATCCCTTTTGAGGGACACTGGGGTCTCAGAAACCCACTTCGAGGTCGAATGCCACTTTCGGTTCTTAACAGCCCATTTTCGGGACCCCGAACCGCGTGTTCTGGCCCCGGAACATCCGTTTTGCAACGGTTTTCGTTCATTTTTGACAGGTACCTCTGTTTTATCACCAGGAAGGTCACTGAAGGGTGGGAGGCCAGCAATTGTTGCAGCAGCCAGTTGTCTCTCCTCCAGAGCCTCCCGGCGCCCGTTTTTCCAACTTCCGGGCTAATGTTGAATACCTTGGAGCTAATGTTGTCAACTTTCAACCACATATCTGTGATCTACACATCTGGGAGGCCACTAAAAGTTGGTGGCCGGCCATTAAGGTCACCTGACCCTTTTGACCCCTTTCTTCCGGGCTAATGTTGAACCCCTTGGACCTTTTTCCTCGAACTTTCAACCACATATCTGTGATGTACACACCTGAGAGGCCCTTAAACGTTCATGGCCGGCCAGTAATTCAAATTGACCCTTTTGAACCCCTCTTTCTGAGCTAATGTTGAACCCCTTGGGCCCACTTTCCTGGACTTTTAACCACATGGTTGTGTTGTACACACATAGGGGTACCTCTCCAGTATCTGGCCGGCCACAAAATCGCATTGACCCTTTTGACCCCTAGCCGGCCGGCTAGGGGGTGCTTTGTAAGGGTTAGAAAATTTGTCCTTCAAGCTTCCATAGCCAATTCCATCTTCTTCCTTCTCAATTCTTCAAAAAACCCTAAGTCCCTAACCATCAATCCTTCTACACCACCAAGCTCTACCACCACCATCTCATTTCCAGCAACAAGGAAGGATTCTTGGAGGCTAAAGAAGCTGCAAATTGGTCCAAGAAGCAACAAAAGTTTGAATCTTCAAGGGTAAGTAATACTTTGACCCTTTTGACCCTTTTTCTTGATCAATATGTAAGCCATGCATGCTTTTTGTTTCAAGCTCCGGCCCTAACTGAAAGTGGCCCTCTTTTGAGCTCATCTTCACTTTTCATTAAGGGCTCAACCCTGTTTGAGCCCTCCATGATGCACTTGCTTCATTGATCCTCTTGTATGTCATAATTTTGCATGCTATTTTTAGCCTTTGAGTAATCTGTTTTTGAGCATGATGTAATCTGTGAATGTGCTTATTTTGGGCCCTTATTCAACATTGTTGAAGGGCCCCTCACCATTTGGTGCCTCTATGTGTCACTTGTAGTTATATCCCTTATTTGGCCCCATTTTTGCATAACTTGGTAGCCCTCTTTGCTTCTGTTTTTGGACCTTGGTCCGAACTGAAAGTGACCTTATTTCCTCTTTGCTTCTGTTTTTGGACCTTGGTCCGAACTGAAAGTGACCTTATTTTGGCCCATTCTACATGTTTTATTAAGGGTCTTTGGCTTTTTGGTGATTATTTTGCATACCTCATGTTTTAACACCTTTTGAGCCTTATTTTG